CCTAGTCGTGGTCTAGTATAGAAGCTAGGTTGGTGATATCCAGTTTTAAAGAATTAAACGTAATGCATGCTGTAGCAGGAAAATTGATTTTCTTGAGCTTACCTCGGAGAAGGTCTGTGAGGGGTTGCAAATGCGACGCACAGTCAGTTGTGAAGCATCGGTAATATTTCACAAGCCCGTCAAAACGTCATCATCATTATACGTCTTAGCTAGAGGTAGAAAACGCCGCAATACATAAGTAAGGAAGAACACTCTTGCAACAGCGGCACGCCAGCTGCGCCGCCAGCAACGGGCTGGTATGGCTCTGGAGAGCTACCAGCCAGCTATTCTGCCACTAAGAAGTATGATATTGTACCCAAGCAATAAGATCGTGACTGGAGGGGGAGGCTAAGCGGGATGGTGTGTGACAAAGAAACTAACAACATTAACACCGCTGAGACCAGTTCCTAGCCATGTCGATAAGCGTACCCAACCATCCGTGTTCATTGTCTCGGACTCAACCAGAAAGCCTGGTCACCCCAACCGTCAAATCATCTGAACCGTTTGAACGAATAAGGTTCAGAGTAGCCAAAGATGACTTCAATCTTATCCTATATTGGTACAATACCTTAGGGGAAAATATGGTGACCAAGAAAACTGACCCAGTGAGCACCATACGAACATTATTCGAACGCAGTCTGCATGAGGCAATCGGTGAGCCGTCGGTAGCACGTACGTTTTACATAGGCTGTGACAGCTTGCCATACCAACTGGCATGCATGACGCTCACTTGCGCCTACGTATCGATTTTGAAAGTTATGCAAAACCGTTGCTCCTTGGTATGAGACAGACGATTTGTTTTGTCACTAATAAACGCATTGATCGTACTAGTCTTTGAGTTGTTCAGTTTCCCTGTGGCGGCTGAGTCGTGCCTAACGCAGGGAGCCAGGCAATGCATGACTTCCTCGCAATATCGATGATGATAGAAAAATATTGGTCGACGGGTTTGGTGTTATCGGACTGAGAAGATATTGAGCAGATATTACACCTTTGTGTCAAACAAGGTGCACTTGACGTAGACACAGACGAGCTGCGATATGCGGTAGTCAAAACATGGTTTTCTTCCGACCATGGCGCACTCTACTTCGAACATTTCGTTGCTGCTAGCCTACCACGAAGTAGCGCAGTTTCTTCATATCGATATTCAACTCGGTTTGACCACTCGGAGTAAGTGTGATACTACTTTTTATTACAACAAATACGTTACCGAAACTATTCGTTTCCCGCTGTGGCAGCCGTTCGGATGTAGCGTCTGCTGGAACGGCTAATTCGTTAAGGGACTTGTCCAGCAACATGTACAGCACTACCGACAAATACTATGGGAAACGTGCAAGCCAGAGCTCCTTTATCCTTTCTTCGCTCAAGAATAAGGGATCGGCAATTCACTAAATTTTGAGACGTAACATCGAACACATGGAATTTCCAAACTTGAGACCATTGAGCTGTTTCAGTCGATTTGATGCGCTGGTCTGTGACTTCTTTCTAAGCGACTACTTCATAGTTTCATGCTTCTCCTTTGGCGTGTTAAATAGCATTTCCTGAACCAACCTCACCACCGATACAGAAAGGCGTGGGACGGGATGATTGTACCTCAAGCGGTCTGTACGAATGCCTCTGTTTTTGAGCCGCATCTGGAAGATAGCAAATAAAGATTTGAGCTGGGTTCCATGGAACCCAGAACAGTCAGTGTTGGCGTGCTCACGCTGTGACGCGTGCGAATTCATTACTTGCGTAGATTAATAATGTATAAAGCACGAGGAAACAATAAAATTAGGCTACCAACAAACAAATGTACCGTAAAAATAGAATGATTAAAGTGAAGTTGAAATTCTCGATGTTACCCGGGGCACACCAAAGAAAGCATGATCTTGAAAGGAAAAAACTCACCAAAAATATACACTGGATTGCAATTCCGCCCCCTGCCGTCTTTAACCGCAACTCTGAAAGCAATCTCTGTAACTGCTTGCATCGTTTATGTAACACGTTCGAAACCATTTATCTGGGTTGAGTTACAAGTTCTACTATCTTATGGCCGTTTGCTTTATAACGAAAATAAGTGGCTAACTTTGAGACCAATCGAACTATAATACTACGGACAGCAACGGTTTTTGGATCTTTCTTCACTCTTCCAGGTTTTGCACTCGGGATTTGTCATCATTAGTTGTTGGCGGCTCGGGCACACCATGATTAGGAATAGTTTTTCCTAGGTACTCACATGACGGTTGTGCGATCGAGTCTTCTTTCGTTGGGGCTCATTTCAAGAAAAATCCTGGTGGTTTCCTACCCCCGATCGTCTATTCTGGAGACGATATGCCGACAGGTGAACGGCCACAATCGTCTCCACGAATTTTAAAATTGCCCAAATGAGTCGGTGCCCACCATGGTGAACTGAGTTCAGACATCTAGTGATGCGCATTATACCAGTAAGTTTAGCCTGACCACCAATCTTCTCATAAATGGTATTTCACTGGCTCAGATCGTCATACTGTTTGCCTCTTAATAAAATTTTTGTGTACAGTAATGTTAATGCATAAAACTGTCAGAATTCTGAAGTTTCTCCTGCTCCCCAGTTTTATTGGGGGCGCGGCGTCCCAAGATGCTGATGATTTGCCGGATGTATTTAGCAGCGGCCCTATGATTTGAGCATTTCCCCTATAATCTGTTGTATTTGCGGCAACGAAGGCCACTGGTGTTAACTGTAGAACAACATTACCGGTAACCACTTGGCAAGCAGCACGATGTATGCGACGTTTGGATGTTGATGATTGATCGGTAGTGTAGGTTTTACTGAAGTCATTACAGTTGTTGCATCGGATAGGAAGATAGCAGCGCTGAAACTAGGCGTGATTTGACTGATTTAAGTGACTGATTGATTTTGGTTCCCAACAGAGCTAGCGCTAAAGTATTGCGAGGACACCTGGTCGCATAATCACTAAAGTCAGTTCATGTATTGCAAAAGTCAGAACTGCCTTCTTAAATCTGCGAAATCTTTGGCGACAGAAAGAAGCTTCGCTCCGTCTGAAAGTTTATACGGCCACAAAGTGTGCCGTCCTAATCTGTGGTAGTGAAACTTGGCCCTCCGTTTTGAGGATATGATGCGCCTTTAAAATCTTTTATCGTCCCTGCCTGCGGAGCATTACTGGTGTCGTGTGGTACGAACGTATCCACAAAAATGATGTGCGTAGGCGCGTACTAGACACTATCAACTAAACCAGTTCATTAGAATAACAGATAGCACATACTACGTATGCTCGTTAAAGCTTGCTGAGTAGGACCTTGTTTTGCCCGCCAGAAATAGAGGGACGCAAGGCTCAAGGTGGACAGAAGTTGACTTAGTAGCAGGAAATGAAGTCCCTTACCGCCAAACTCGGTGCCGTCGATCCGTGTCGCCTTCCAGGTTGGAGAATACGTGACTCGCTTTGTGCTTAACTCGAGACGTTACAGGACATGGCTTGCAGTCGGCACTAGTGGCGCGTCTGCTGCTGTCACCTAGTCGGACCGCCTGTTTAAAGCGCGTTTGATGCTGAGTTGTCTGTGAGGCAACGGCTAATTAGGAGGCGGGGTAGTAAAAGTCGCAAGCCGCTGATGCCTCCTTATCTATGCATGATAGCCAGCTGTTTGTGACGATGTGTTGTTGGCAAGGTGTAAACACTTTGACCCTGAATGTTTGCTTAGAGCGTTAAGGTTTTCTGGTAAGTTCCTACTCTCCTTCTTATTATTCGTCGTTCCATAGGTCGTTGTGGTTGTACGGCAGCAAAGCACCAGTGCAAATGGCTGATGTACCGCTGCTGCTGTTGTTGACGTTGATGATACCTGTCTTTTCTTTGTAGTTGGGGCTGTAACGGATGGATGTGACATAAGCCCTGCTATTGTTAAATCTAACAAAGCAATTTGCGTTCATTATAAGTTCCGCTTCGGTCACCAAATACTGTCTTTCTTTCGCGATAGTCTTAGGATGCACTGTACAAGTGGGCAGGTTACGCACGCAGTGCAAAACCAAAGCGAGTCCAGTAAACTTCTGTGCTGCTGTATTTCGGCTGGTATGGAAATGGTCGAATCAGTGCGAGCATGCTGGTCCTACTGTTACCGGTTTACACAGCTAGTTGATCAATAAATATTTTCCAGTGGGATCGTAGTTTCTTTCACCACCATTGGCGAAGCGCAGTGGATTGCTTCGCCATCTGACGGGGCATCTCGTCGATCGTCGACTTTTATATGCTCAAGATTACGGGTATGAATGTGAGCACTGGCCGGATGCACTGGTCAGAAGAGCTGTCGCGGTCGCGCGCAGCAAGATGGCGTGGTGGAATTAAAGCGAACTTGACTTGGTCTATTCATTGTCCTCGGCTTCGTTTGACCCTGACTGGAAACTACTGAACATTTGGGAACGTAAATCGCCTTGTGGCTACTCCACACAATGGTGATAAGGACCGGGTGAATGCTTGTTCCAACACTGTAGAACTACTCCATAAAAAGATGCTAAAAATGCAGTTTGTGGCCAGAAAAGAGTTAATTTGCGCAGTTAGGTGTTTTTGAAACACATTCCCAGAATCTATGCATTCGAGTGAAAACAAGATGCGGATATATTTTTCATAGTAAGTTTAAATGAAATAGCCCGTCCATTTGGAACCAATAATTTCAAGCCGACTGTCGCAAAACGAAACGGGACGGCGTAATTCCGGAAGAACAGTGTGCAGAACAGTTGCGTTCGATGCCGAATGTACTGTCGGAAAGCATACCTATGAAGCAGTGGTTAACTTAAGTTTGTGACTAATTATCCCACAACATAACTCATAGATTGAATGAGATTAAGCGAGTACGCAATTTGTCGGTGGGCGTACTCAGCCAGGATTTCGCTGTCTAAACTTTGTAACTGTTACCGAGTTACCGCTTATGCGGTGCAGCAGGTTCAAACGTAAGATAAAAATATAATTGCTATAATGTATTTTATACTTTTGCAGCTGAACTCCTGCCACACTCATTTCGTGGAGTCGCCAAATTACCGCGGCTCAAATGAACGCAGAGCTACGGTGCTACAGGATTCAAAAAACACAGAACGAATACTGTTCAAAACTGAACAAGGCAGCTGTACTCCGAATATATTGGATTATTCCAAACAGAAAGGTAAAGAATAATGCTGGTTACCTGCCAACTTTCAAGTGTTCCCTACCTCATCAAAGTCAACCCGAAGACACCATCTTTTTCAACTGACATTGTCTTACCTTGAGCTGCACTAATCTTTGCCTAAAGTAACTCATAGCGAAGTTTTTTGTGGTGGGCTTGCATTACTTGTGGCTTCAGTGGGTTAGTGCCATTGAATTAAGGGATCAATATAAATGAGTAAGGAGTGCTACGTTGGAGATAACATTCTTTGGCTCAGTAAAGGCTGTGTGCTGTGTTAGAGAAAACGAACTTATGTTCTCAAGGGAGTTCAGTTAAGATTGGTACAGTGAATTGTCGACTGTAGTTGACTGGACCACAAAGCAATGAAGGTGCTTGAATGAGATCGGAGCTGGGAAGCCTTTAATAGCCGGCATTTGTCTGCGAGGAACTCAAAAACGGATGACTAGATGAGGTGGCCTTGGAATACTAGCGTTGACTTGATATGTTTACACTTAGTCAGGTTAACTGTGACATCTTGTTAGGTCAACCGCTGGAAGATGGATTGAAGATGTGCGAGGTGGTTTCTTTGGATGAACGGGCTACACGAGTGTCGTCCAGGTATGGATAAGCAAATTTTAGATCTCCAGTAACGTCGTGGGTAGAGCTTTGAAAGCTTTTTACGGTGTTGCGCAATCCGAGTGGTATAATGTACTGTCCGAACAAGCCAATATAGTGATGACAGCGCTGACATGGTTGAGAGAAATGAAAACCCTCACTTCGAAACTGGATTCGGTTGGTGCATCCCGACTGCCTGGCTGGGGTCCTAAAGCCGATGAACACATTTGGTCGGACACACTTGCTGATATGGCTAGGAGCAGGCCGCATTGGCGTTTGTGTTGTCCATCTCCCTCCTCTTTAGATTCCTCTCCAATCCCGACCTCTTACAAAACGCCTTATATAATATTTGCCATCATATTACTTGCTTGGAATGATTTTTGTAGTGTAATTTTTAGCCTCTTATCTTTTTGTGTTACGGCAACAATCGTTTACTGATGATGATGACGACGATTATTATTATTATTGTGACGATGATGATGATGATTAGTAAAGACAGCTGATTTAGATCTGTCTTTTTCCTTTACAGGCTTCTGGTGCAATGCCCGAACAAAATCCATCTTACTAAAGATCGTCATACCTCCAGGGCATGCAGTGAGGCGGTTAGCTTATTGAGTGCGCAGTAATCATCGTAAAAGTGCCGGTAAAAATATACTCTAGGGACCAGCTGAACTGGAGAACAACAGGGATTGTCTGAAGGGCGGACTATCATGAATTCAAGCATGTGTTCAAACTCTGTCTTAGCAAGATTACGGTTCTCCAGTAAGAGTCGGTGTGGACAAGCCGAGACAGGCAGACCATCAGTCCGAATATGATGCGTGACTTGGGCTGCCACAAGCTTAGTATGGTGGGAGACAAGTTGGCGTAGTCTGGAGAGGTCTGGAGAAGTATGCACCTGTAGTGTAGATGCCATGTCGGCGTTGATGCTACACACCCTAAGTTTCGTTGCAAGATGGACTATCATCTGGGGTTTCGCATGGACCAAGTGGTTTAAAAACCTGAGGGTGTCTTTAGCGATGGTGGCAAATGGGACTGCGACAATCGTGAATACACAGCGGAACGCTCACTGAAGACCTAGGTTCAGCGTAAGCGACGGATGACCGTAAGTGGTCATTGATGTGAAAATTAGCGGCATTTAGGTTTGTGGACAAGGAAGTGGCCGGTTCACCTGGGATAAGGGGAATGTTGACGTCCACCTCAGTATCAACTAGGAACCGCGTCCTGGAATCCTAATCCATAGTGTAAATGAGACGAGTTGGGGTTTTTTCGACGACGCTGGTCGCCGTTACGAGTGTACCTGGACCTTTCACTCCTTAACAAGGGAGAAACAACATGGCTGTTCGCATTTACGGACTACGTTCCCGAAACGCAAATGGTAACAACAGCAAGCTAGAGCATTAGATTTCGGTTGACGGGGCGGTGCTCTAGAACGTGCTTAAGGTCTAGGGTTAGTTTACCTACTTGAGACTGGAACGAGGCTATTTTGCATAACGAGGCCTCCATTACTGACGGCTCGATAGTAGCACGCGCCACTGCGGTTGCAACGGTGCTAAGTCGAGTATGTGCTCTCGTTCCAGTCGTTGGTTGGTGTTGTTCGATGACGCGGTCTGCTAGGTCTGCAACGGCTTCCTGTGTCAAGGCGTTTGTCACCGCGACGAATGCCTGTGTACTTTCCAGAAGACGTTGCATTCACATTTCGTGAAGAATCCTGGAGTCCATAGTAGACGTGAAAAGGGGCTACTGCATTTCTCACAACAAGACTGAGGGCATCTTATGTCCCAGTTGCAGATCCCTAGATAGTTGCTGCAAATGGACCTTCTCTGAAGGCGTGCTTCCCTGAGTAATTGCATGCTTACGGATCTTGTATTTCATTTCTGGAGGGAGCAGGATATAGTAGCTCTCACCTGTGAGAAAATACCCTGGGGAAGCCGAGGTATAAGCAGATAGTAATATGAACAATCGGAAGCACTACTACAGTTCTAAAATTAGCGAAAACCACAATAAATGACCACTCTGCCAAAATGTGGGGAAGCTAACCATGCGGTTTTAACACTACACGGGGATGGCTTGTCCTCTGGAGCATTCATTGCAAAGCTGCATAAAAATGTACCGTAGGTAGCGAACCAAAATGAGAACCCGTAATGAATCCCAAGTTTACTGGAACGGCTCACCAAGATGGCACTTCGATTTAGCGGATGGCGGGTTACGAGAACCGATCACCAATAGTTGGAAGTTCCTCGAATACTAGTCGACAACGACCCAACGAATACTGCAAAGGTTACATGCAGTGGATAACGAGTCAGATATAGCAAGGAGCAACGTATCGTCCAACTCACAGGGTAAAATTTGTCCGTTGGGTGTACAAATAGACATTTGGCAAGTACAAAGACCAATAACATCCATTGTTGTGAACTAAGTGTTCACGTTTCAGTACAGCTGCACAGTCGCTTTTCAAATTCAAGTGGGACTGGAACCACAGCATGAATCCCATAAGTGTTCCTTCTTGAGCGGGTCGTTGATCTAGGAGTTAATAGAGCGCTCTGACTTCTTGATGGACCTAAAACGAAAATATCCGTAAACACACCCTGGTCCGCCAATTTAATGCTCAAGTTCCTTGCATTAGCGGTCCCTGCTATGCAATTTACGTGAAGTAAGTAAGAGAGGAAGAAAAATCGAAAGTAAAGAGTAGGGGAAATCAGTTGAAAGCAAAGGATACTACCAATGGTTATGGAAAGTACAGAAAATAGAATCGAAGTATGAAGATGGGACTTAGTCAGAAAAAGGGAAAGGTTTCGTGTTGCCACTCCAGATCATCTAATTGACGCTCAAGCCCCTTAACCGTAGCTTCCTTGCTAACATTTTCTGGAAGCGAGCTCCGGCGTTCGATGACTCAACGCGATAACCGTGTCTCCGCTCTAGCTCGATAGGACCGCAGTTTGTCCAGCTTCATACAGTGCCCGCCGCGACCAGATAATCTAGCAGGACTAAATAGTCAGGACAAATTCTGGCCAACCTTTCCAGTCAAAATACGGTAGTTAGGCGTAGCTCCCCTCTAATCCCTCGATAGTTCATTGAATGCATCCCCAAACTAAGTAGGCGTTCGGGGTACTTTTGTTCTCTCAACCCCTTTACCAACGTAGTACCGACACGCAACACCCTTTCTAGTAACATTTTGTCCCGCACAAGGCATGGTGGACAGGCTTGGATGCAATATTCTAACTGGGGTCGCACGATCGCTGAGAAAAGCTTCACAATCATATAAGCTGTTAGGGTCCCAAAAGAACGGTGGATAAACCACAACATCCGGAACCCTTTACTAGTCGCCTTTTTCCAGTTGTCTTCAGAGTGTAGAATGGAACAGTGGACGACACCTAGATCAACCTGATTAGTCACCTGAGCAAGACACTCTAATCGACCACATAACTTGTAGGGTAATCAGACACTCCTATGCGCAGCACTGAACACTTTGCCCAGTTTATGGGCAGCAACCACAAAACAGACCGTTCCCAGAGTCTATCCAGAGCCCGTTGAAGAGCCGCAGGACCTCCAGAGATATCAACAATATTCCAGAACTTCAGGTCATTAGCAGATAAGAGCGATGGTACCTCAAGCTCCATCGGCAAGTTATTCACGTAGACTGTGAACAACAGCAAACCTTGGACGGAGCCTTGCGGAACGCCGCTAAGGACAGCTTGTCGAAAAGAAAGACTGATTCCCACACGAATATTGTTTCCGTCCATCCAGAAATGCTGATACCCACTGGACAGCACGAGCAGATATTCCATAAGATCTCAACTTCAGTGTGAGTTGCGAATAAGCGGTAGTGTCAAAGGTCTTGGCGAAGTCAATGAACACCACGTCCACTACATGTTCACTTTCTACGGCTTCAGCCCAGCTCTCACGAGCTACCAGCAAGTTCGTTTGACACTAAAATCCTTTGCAAAAACCATGTTGTTCGGCGCTAAGCAGTTTAAATCTATTCAAATGCTTCTCGATAGTATCTCTTACTAATTTTTCAAGTAACTTGACCACCACCTTAGCCAGGCTGACAGTCCTGTAATTAGCCGGTAGGTCTTTTTCAACGCACTTGAAAATCAGGCAGACAACAGCCTCCTTCCAGTCAGTAGGTAAGACACAGCTATTGAGTGACTTCTGAAACAGACAAGTCAGAGGTCCACTAAGTTTCACTGCCAATTCGTGCAGCAATTTTGAATGCACTGAATCTGGCCCGGAAGCCTTAGTTGGATTCACCTCTCTCAGCAACCTGAGAACTTGAGGCTCACTTACAGTAATTTCATCCAGATAAGAGTTCTCAGAGACTCTTAAAGCTAGTTCTCTGCATGGCGTATTTGTTTCGCGGACAACGACGCTTGAGTAATGCTCACCAAGCACACATGCCTTGTCATGTTCGCAATAGGCATGAGTCCCATCCCCTCGAAGCAATGGTGGTATAGGAGAGTTTGCATCACAAGACGAAAAATGTCTTG